AATATTCACACCAATTATCATAACTCTATGTGTTGTCCAACACTGAGACTAACGATATGTCAAAGACTTATATAAAGTGTATAATAATATTAATTGCCATCAAAATAAATACAATGTTATTATTTATTATTAAAAACTTTTAAAGTTCTGTTTTAATATGTTTTTTGTTAAGAATTTAGAAATAAATAAAAAAAATAAAGTTTTTCATAAATTGTTTGGCTATTAATTCACACACTTTATCAACAAATGCTACAATTGATTGCCATAAGTATATTCACTATAGATAGTCATTCAATGGATTAAAACTGATTTACAAATTCATTAATTAAATTAAAGCACAATTAATGTAAGAATTATAGCTCAGAATCCGTTGACTTACACCCTATTCAACGCGATTCTGTGCACAAAAAGGGCGTAACGTGTGACCCATTGTGTCATCATTTATGGCCCCAAAGCGCACGTCATTTGTGTGAGACTTACGTAACGTTTGCTGAACGACTGGTTTTCACATCCCTTTCCGGACGTGTATTTCCATCCAAACGGTATGTATTGAGTGTTAATTGTGTTTAAATCTAATCTCTTCCCGGAGTGGTTGGGCTCTAAACGGCTTAATACGAGTTGGGCTGAAGAACTGGGCCCTCAGTGTTCTTCGGTCCAGATTTCCTCCATCGTCGGTGTCTTCGATGACTATAATACCTGTCTTATCGTCCAAATTGGATGGCAATGGGATTACAATACTCTACAACAAAAATCAAGTCATTTACAAACAATTTTGTCATGTTTTAAAAGTAAAAATATAAAAATTAAACTTTTTGTGAATCAAACAAATACCTGAACGGACTGTTTGTTGCGAGAGTTTCTCGTTATGGGAAAAGTTATGGTGAATGGCTTTTCGCTGGCAATGGACTCTATCTCTTCATTGCCATCATAACTGATGAAAGACGAGGTGTGAGACTCTTGCGGTCTGAGAGCTACTCCATTATCGACCGGTGCTCTCACTGATGGCTGACTCGGAGGCGATAATCCAATGATAGCGATCTCGGCATCGCTTAATCCCTTTAAGCGCTCCTCCGATGAATCAAGTGATGGAAGACTTGACGCGAAACAAGTGAAAGTCGTGCCTATAATGTAGTAATTAAAGTCAGATTTGATTATAAATTCAATGAATATGAAAGGCTATCGTGAATTTCGATGCTTACAAATATGAATAAATAGAAAAAAGTGCAAATTCATTTTAGAAAACAATAGATTATGGCATTAAATACAGTAATGAATGATATATTTAAGTATTAATAGTGTGAAGCGAACAGAGAAAATGATAGAAAACTTTTTAGACTCTCAGTAAGAGTTGCTTTTTATTAGATGAGACTGTGATTGCTTGTGTTGTTATACTTCTTATAGCACTTCTCTAATATATTGTATAAAACTTTTTTTAAAACTTCTATAGAAAGAGGAAATAGGTTTTTAGGTCAGTACTCATCAAACGAATCATACAACGGATGATCACATCTTCTAAGAGATGATCCAAAGCTTGTTTTTCGCTATTCTTTCGCATTGCTATGTAATCATTGCATTCAATGAATGAGTTTCGCTTTAATTCGGGACTCAATCCCCACCAGAAATGGCTAAAACTCTTTGGCCAACTAAGCCATCAGAGGAAAGGTTTGCTTTAATTGATAGCTTTTGTAACTCATTCACAATCAGTTTTTCAATTATGTGTGACTTCTGGCAAACCAATGATGGAATTGAAATCCCATTTATTAGTACTGTTGGCGTTACGGCCCATTCGATACGTCTAATCAATAATTGTCTCCTTATTTACTCAATATTTATGACTTATTGGCCCTAACTTTCTCTCAGCTCAAACATCCAACTCATGGCAACTTCAATAACAATCAAAAACAACTAATCATAACATTAAATATATTACCATTTTTTACACTCAAAACTTACAAATTAAATTTGAACTCTTGTTTTGTGTAAAAATATAAAACAAACAAATCATTGATAATAACATGTAATTTAATGTCTAATCAGACAACTTTTAATTCTCCATTTGTTCACAAAAGTGTAGTTCAAGTAACACTTTAGACAATGAGAATTATTTTTAAGTTCAAAATACTTGTATGCAATTCAATGCAAACTTAATGATAAAAATTTTCCACACATTAATTGCCCTGAAATATGTCATCAAAAGTAACTTTTATTTGCTTTAAGAATAGCTTAATTAGCGGCGATTTCGGTGTATTTTTATTTCGATGTATAAATAAAACACATTATTATAGCCATAATTAGAGTACATTTTATTTAAAAATCATTTCTAATTTAATTTGTCATTCCTTAACTATTATAGTCAACTTTTTTTGTAAATTATTTTCACTTTTATTGCTGTAATTAAATGCAAAGTTCGCGTAATTAAGTAATTGTTGTTTTAATTAAAAGATTTATACCCTTTTTATAGCGCTTAACAACTTTCTTTATATAAAAAGGTTTTACAGATTTATTTATAATTATTTATAATACGAAATGTGCCTAAATTTAAAAAGTGATTGAGAAAAATGATTGCTTTTTCGCAACATTTGCTCCAATTTATGATACATTATATGTTTTGACGTTTCCGATTGTGGCCACTCAGGAGGCCTTATAAACTGATAATTGATGGTTAGATCCAAACAAATTAGTTTATTCTATACTATTATAATCGCCGCTAATATAATAGCAGTGCCAACGAAAACACTTTTTAATTATTCAAATGAGAAACGCTTTTATTGTATCAATGAATGCGAGAGAAAAACAAGTTTTTCTATTAAATCCGATGTATTGAGTGTTTCATTAGAAAGTAATATCTCTTAACAATTGTGTCAACGGATAGAAGAATCCGCGAGATTTACGTAAAGGCAATATTATTATGTTATAATAAAAGTCTGATTTTAATAGATGTGTGCAATTAAGCCGCTTATAGTTATAGCCATCATAGAGTGAACGCCCAAAATGTAGGGATAAAAGCAATTATTAGTAAGAATTTTAAGAACTTTTTCTTTTTGTTCAAATAAAATACTATTTAAACGTTTCATTCACTGCAACAGAAAGATCTTCACTTTTCTCTCTCTCTCTCTCTCTCTCTCTCCCTCTCTCTTCGGTTTGGTTTAGGATTTCATTTATTATGAAAAATACATTTTTCTTTAAATAAGACTTCCGTAAAGTGTTGTCGAGAAGAGAGTGAGTGAGGAGTAGTTTTTGGGTTAATTGCACTCAACCCAAAATGTAGGGATAAAAGCAATTATTAGTAAGAATTTTAAGAACTTTTTCTTTTTGTTCAAATAAAATACTATTTAAACGTTTCATTCACTGCAACAGAAAGATCTTCACTTTTCTCTCTCTCTTCGGTTTGGTTTAGGATTTCATTTATTATGAAAAATACATTTTTCTTTAAATAAGACTTCCGTAAAGTGTTGTCGAGAAGAGAGTGAGTGAGGAGTAGTTTTTGGGTTAATTGCACTCAAAAACATGTAAAACATATCCAAACGTATTGTTATTTTTATNCTCTCTCTTCGGTTTGGTTTAGGATTTCATTTATTATGAAAAATACATTTTTCTTTAAATAAGACTTCCGTAAAGTGTTGTCGAGAAGAGAGTGAGTGAGGAGTAGTTTTTGGGTTAATTGCACTCAAAAACATGTAAAACATATCCAAACGTATTGTTATTTTTATCATACAATAAGAATAATGCACTTTAAGGTACAACTCATGCCATACTCACACAACACGCTCTCTCTCTCTCTCTCTCTCTCTTTCTCTCCTATTATAAGCCATTTGAAGAGAAATACATATTTTTGGTCATTGAATGAATGGATCGAAATGAGAACAACTGAGAAGAGGTCATCCGAACAATACAAATGTGTATCAAAATATATATCACTTTTCTCAACAAAAGTCAAAATAAAGAAAACTTTTTATTGAAATAAAAAGCTGAACGCGAAATGCATTTAACGCTAGAAATGGAAAGCAATGGAAAAGAGCCAAAAAGCCAAACAACAAAACCAATCACTTTTCGGTCAAAACATACTTTTATTTATTTTGTTTGCAAAAATCATAAATCATTTCCAAATGCATTACGATATGAGCGGTCAGTCTATGTCTGGTTAGTGTTGGGACCGCGGCGTCGGCCGAAAGTCTGCACCACATTCACGAACCGTCGGTTGTATTGCATCCGACGCTTAGCTCTTCCCGTCTTCTTCTTCTTCTTCTCCTGTTTCTCCACTTTAGGCGTCTGTCCCTTCACTTTGCCCGCTCTGGCCAGCGATCCGTGAACTTTGCCACCTCTTAGTCGCAGGCATACCTCCACAGAGTCGCCGTCCATCAGCTCCGCCGCCACCTCCTGGTCATCATCCAGGGGTCGACCGCAACAGTACAGCACCTGATCCTCATTCGGGATCTTCTCCACGCTTTCGATGTAAAGCTATTTATGAACACAAAAGACAATTAGTTGACAAAAACCAATCAATTGGTGTCATCTGTCAGATGAGAGCCATTGTCTTGCGATCTACTCATGGCTTACCTTCAAGTCAAAGACGGTGTCGTTTTGCGAGACTTCATAGCAATGAGTCTCTTGTGATCGCAGAAAGATCGCAGACATCTTCTCACAGATTGTGATCACACAATGGATTCAATGTCTTCACGCGATGTCCAGTCGATAGCAATGAAAAAACAAAACAATTGTTTTCAGTATTCAATGAATTGTGTCATCAAAATAGAGACAAAACACAAACAAAAGCCTATAATCGCGTCAATTGTGTGGCAAATGTTTGTGTGTTTTGTGATTGTGTTGCAAATGAACGCAATTATGGCACAAATGAGTGGATAATTAGATTTAAACACAATTAACACTCAATACATACCGTTTGGATGGAAATACACGTCCGGAAAGGGATGTGAAAACCAGTCGTTCAGCAAACGTTACGTAAGTCTCACACAAATGACGTGCGCTTTGGG